GCTCCAAACACACTCCCAAAGCTGCAAAGCGCTGGTTTAAGGTGGGGACACACCCCAGGCAGCTCAGACCCCGCTCTGGAGAGCACAGAGGGCTCACAGAGCAGGAGAGGAGCTGCTGACCCGTGTTTTGTGCAGGTGGTGCAGCGCTGCCTGGAACTGGGAGCAGCCTCGGCACAATTCATCAGTGGCACCATGGAGGACATGGCTTTCGCCCAGAGCGTGGTGAGGGAGGCTCAGACCTCGCTGGGTACGTCTGCACCCCGCCCTGCATGGTGCCAGCATCTTGGTTTTTTTCACATGCAAAAAAAAACTGGGAGAGATAGGGAGAGACGGGAAAAATTCTCCCCTAATTCTGCCCTTTCAGCCTTTCTGCCTGTCAAACTGAACTGCGCTCTGGATTTCAGCCCTGAGCCCTCCTGACACGCTGTTCCAGCAGCACAGCCCTGGATTTCATCAGCCCAGTGCTGCTGGGGTCTGAGGGATCTGTGAGCCCCGGCCATGGTGGCCATGGGTCACGGGAATGCAGCACAGCTCCGTGCAGAGCACTCCCTCTCCTTCCCCAGCCACGGACAATTCAGGGGTGATCTCCCTTGGGCCCTGGTATTTGTGTTTTGAACTAGAAAAATACAACACAACAAAATATGTACTGGCAGCCCCCATCCAGGCCATATCCCCGCTCCGGAGACAGCAGGACACAGCTGACCCAAAAACCTGATTTTTGTGGATTACCCTTATTCTGCTCCCAGGAAATGTTTTGCTGGCTGTAGCCCTGTCCCCCATGCCCATTTTTCTGCCTGCAGGAGGCCTTGACATGCTGATTCTTAACCACGTTGGTGCGTCCTACTTTGGYTTCTTTGATGGGGAYGTKGAGCACGTCCGAMAGCTCCTGGARATCAACTTCCTCAGCTACGTGGCCATGGCCACMTCAGCCCTGCCCATGCTGAAGGAGAGCGAGGGCAGCATCGTGGTGGTTTCATCCATGGCAGGTGAGTGCAGTGTCACCAGCCTGGTGACRTGGGACACCTCGAGGGCTGATTTTCAGCAGCAGCACACACACAGACATCACACCAGGCATCCCAAAGGGGCCAGAACAGCCTAAAACTCAAACCCCTCCCCAAAACCAGCCCCAGCACCCAAATCCCGATTGGTTTGGGATTCTCTTGATGGAGTTGGGTTTTTCCTCAGTCCAATTGCCCCATTTTGCTTTTGGAGCAGTGMAAGCCCCCAGCTGGAATGTGGGTCAGTGCTCTGTGAGCAGCTCAGTGACAGGGACRAGAGTTTCAACTTTGCTCCATCTCTGCCCCTGAGGGTTTTGTGGTTACGATGGGCTGCCCATGCCCTGAGCAGAGATGTGWGCCACGCTTTGGCCTTAAGAGCTGGAAGCCAACAGGAATTTTTGTAACACTGCTGCTCAGGTGCCAAAATGGCACTTCACTGCCTGCAAATTCCCTTTGGGTAAAACACTTGTTGTGATGGAGAGAGGTGAGGCASAGCAGCCTCCTGTGCTAACACAGAACTTCACTCTGTGTCCAGGTAAAGTCGGGTTTCCCTTTACCGTCCCCTACTCTGCGACTAAGTTTGCCCTGGATGGATTTTTCAGCTCCCTGAGGCAGGAATTCAGCATTCAGAACATTAATGTGTCCATCACGCTCTGCATCCTCGGCTTCATCGACACCGGTAAGGGCGGTGCTGTTCTCCCACACCTCACCCTTTCAACTCTCCCGCAGCATCTCTAGGGGATCCCACCTCTCTTCCACCCAAAAGCAGTCTCAAAAGTCATTTATTTCTCCACGKCACTTAAAAATGGGCGCTGCTTACAGAATGGCACAGCGCA